TAGATCCCATAAACAGACATACATCCTTTGTTCTCTCAACCTAAAGTCCTGTTTTAGGTCGTAAAAACTTTTTTCCTCTATCATCCACTCTGTAGAAAACCACCACATGTAGAAAGACCTTGTTTGAAGACAGAAAAGCCATGATACTCACAAAAAAGCCATGATACTCATTCCTTTGTTTCTGCTTTTTTCAATTTTTGTTGGGACTTTTGCATCTTCCTTTTTGTTTTTTGAAATACCACACCCCTCCAGGTCGTTTGAACACAAAAGCACAGAGCCACAATACTCAAGTGGAGACTCAGACAACTCTTCAGTAATGACAATGAGTGAAACCGAATCCCGTTCATCAACTCAAAGCGACAAAATAAGGTGGTTATCGGAAGATCTATGGCCAACATCAGTAACCTGCGAAATGAACATACCAGAGTGGGAAAAAGCTCTCCACTCGGCAGGCATCCTAGATGAGTATAAAGATGTCATTGAAGGTTTCACCAACGGTTTTGACCAAGGCATCCCTCATCACTTTTTCGTCAATAGCAAGTGGTACACGCCGCCAAACCATTCGTCTGCGGAGCTAGCAGAAGAAAAGATCAGGAAGAGCACGGAGAAGGAGATTGCTCTCGGAAGAGTCTTCGGCCCTTTCACACATGAAGAAGTCCACAACAGGTGTGGTTTTTTCCGGACTAACCCTATGGGTGCTGTTGTGAATGGTGATGGTTCCATATGCCCAATCAATGACTTATCGTTTCCAAGAAACAATCAAGATATCCCATCCGTCAACTCATTCGTAGACGCAGACGACTTCATTACCACGTGGGACGACTTCGCGAAGGTCTCCCTATTTTTTAGAAGGATTACGGTTCCCTTTCTATGCGCCATTTTCGACTGGGAAAAGGCTTATCGCCAGATCCCAACAATGCTTTACCAAAGACAGTACATGATGATCTTAGGCCCTGATGGACGCATCTATTACGACACCAGGATAGGTTTTGGTGGAGTAGGAGGATGTGGCTCTTTTGGCCGAGCAGCAGATGGCTGGAAGTTAATCATGAAGCATGAATTTCAACTAATGGAAATATTCAGATGGGTTGATGATGCCCTTTTCATCAAAGCACTAGATTCAACTTTAGTAATGGAAGATGTAGTAAAAAGAAGCATTCAACTCGGGGTAATAACGAATGAGGAGAAGATCTCAGACTTCAAAGACGAACAAAAGTTCATCGGGTTTATCTGGAATGGAATCAACAAGACAGTTAGACTTCCCAAACACAAATTGGAACAACGCAGACTGCAGATCGACGAAGCCCTGTCTGAAATGAAGAGATTCTCTTTCAACGAAGTCGAAGTCCTGGTAGGACGTCTCACACATGTCTCCCTGATCCTTCCCCAACTTAAGTGCTGTCTTACATCCCTCTACCGCTGGATGAAGAGCTGGGTTCATAGGTTCGCAACTCGCCTATTACCAGAAGATGCTAGGAAAGACTTGGAAGAGTGGAGATGGATCCTTTCAATTTTCCAGAAAACGAGACTCATACCATTCTCCGAGCCGATTGATATGGGCTAGGTAGGAGACGCCTCGCCGACCTATGGAGTCGGAGTTCTTATAGGTAAGGAATGGTTCCAGCTGAAACTCAAACCGGGATGGGAGTCGTCAGGAGAAACAAAGAGGGGCATAGCATGGCTGGAAACGGTGGCCATCCAAATTGGGTTATGGCATATTCTCACTACAAGAAGTTTAGAAGGAAAATCACTAATCGTCTGGACAGACAACACTACAAGTGAAAACGCTATTATGAACAGAAAATCAAGAGATATAGAAGTGAACACCGAATGGAAGAAAATTCAAAAACTTCTGATTGACTTTCAAATAGATCTGGTTGCTAAGAGAGTGGTCTCCAAGAAAAATGACGCAGACGGGATCTCAAGAGGGGAAGGTAAAGAAGATCATAACAAACTCGAAAAAGATAGAGTCGTAACCTCTATACCAACTGACTTGATAAATTGTTTTACACAAAACGACAAGATTGATGATGGATCAGATGACCCAATTCTACGTCGTTGATTTCCAGGTTTATTCAGAAAGAAGAACCTAAAGTGAATTGCTACTTCGTTTACGTTTTAACCCTTGCCTTACTGCTGTCAAGAGTGATATGCTCAGATTAACTAGAGTGCTTGTATTATGAACCCGTGTTTTGTCTATCATCTCTTCATCTTGTGACATGTTTCATGTTCAGACGAGGGAATTTGAAATTGAAACGAGATTACAAAAGACGATCAATCACTGAGACGTGATTACTCAATTTATAAAGATGTAACAAGGTGGCACAAACATAAGTGAACCTAAGGAACTTGCCACATTTGCCTATGAATGAACCTGAAACTTGCCGTGATTCGTCCCACCCCGGTAAGTAAAGAGATAACCAAGAGATGTTTCGAAAGAGACAACCTTTTTTACAAAAAAGTGCCTACCAAGTTTTTCGTTATTGACCCAGGCACACATTGACACGCATAACTCTACCATCAAATTCTAAGTAATATGACAAGAAGTGAAAAAGAACTTAATCAGATAAAAATCTTTCTAAGTAGAGGCGATGGTATAAGGTCTTACGATAAACGCCAACGACATTTACTTAACGGTTGGAAATGGAATACAATTGTCAGTTACAATGGGGCAGTCAAAAAGTTCTTGAAATTTATAAAGAAAGAAGACGGTACAAATTTTCTCCTACCGGCATCAGAAGATAATATATATGACTTCTGCGTATGGGCTGGTCGGAACCAGGACGGCCCAACAATAGAAGATATCATGTCGGTTACTCTTGCGAAATACCTTTACGGTTTGAGAGCGTGGCACCGATATCACAATCAGAAATTCCCAAACGTAGAAGAAGAGACGATCAAATTAATGTTGACAGCATCTAAGAAGTTAGACGTCGAATTACCGAAGACCGAAGAGAAAAAGCCAGTCCACCTAGATCATTTATTACATCTGGCAATAGAACTATCTAAAGGAGGAGCTAGAGAATTGGCGGTATTAGATACAGCAATATGCGCGTTCTGGAGTCTAGCGCGAATGGGTGAGATGACTTCAGACAAAAATGAAATGACGGAAGTAATTAAAAGAAAGGACGTAGAATTTTTTGGCGACACAATTGAAGAATGTTTTATTTACCTCAGAGGCGCAAAAACAGCCAAGGCAGGGGAGATTCAAATATTACAACTGAAGAAGCTAAATCACATACTGTGCCCAATCGCAGCTGTAAGGAGAAGAATCGCACAGACTAGCGAAGACGGAGACCCATTATTTAGCTACCTGGAAGACGGTACAAGGAAGTTACTATCTAAAGCAACGATAACGTCAATCTGCCAGAAATCATGGAGAGAAGGTGGATTCTCAGGTTTATCAGGACACTCTTTCAGAGTGGGCGGAGCTTCATTGAGATGCGCATTAGGAGTACCAATTAAGGATATATGTGACATTGGGAGATGGAAGTCAGATTCGTATAAACTTTATATTAAAAGCTATTCGGAATTGGACTTGTCAAAAGCTAACAACTTGTTAAAGGAACTTAACAAACACACTTTGAAATAAGAACATTATGAAAGTTTATGAGCGAATTCACAAGCCTAGAAGGTTTGGGGTTTCGATTTTATAGGCTCAGGCTTCCAGACTTGAGAGTGGGTGTATAAAACCTCAACCAGAGATTGGTTGATCTGAATCACCATCTTTGGAATATCTCGAGTGTGTTCTTGAGAACCCAGAGTCTTTTACCTTGTAAGTAGTTTGACATTAACTTTTCCAAAGAATTCCAACAACTGCATAAAGGAAGACTCGGCCTAGTATCTTATTAATCCATAAATAAGGATTATCGAGATACAAGGGGGTTTTCGTACAAAACCCATACACTGGTAGTCTTGGACATAACGTCGGGACTACCTAGATTTGATAATAATTTATTCTTATAAAAGTTATTAGAATATCTTGTTATCATCTCGAACGTGTAACATACTCGTTGTGATTATAAAGATACGGAGTGGACAATACATACAAAAGAAACAGCGGAATCCAGATGAAAAAAAATGGTTTGAGGGTTTGTATTGGTACAATTCAAGTGGACACATAGCTTTTCCAATCATCACATGGCTTGAATGATTCCTATCATGAAACGCTGCAATCATTTAATGTCAAAATTAATTACAAACTTTGTGTTAGTGTTTAGAAAATTTCAAAGTCAAGAGAAAAAGTTAGTTGTCAATCATGAAGAACTTCAAATTTCCTTCTCAGAATGACTTTAATCAAGAACATTGCCAGTGAGACTTCATGTGAATTTTGGGCGGGTTATTTGGCCATATTTACCGTCAAACCAGAAAAGCTTGTCACAAATTCCCCGCCAAATTGCTCGAGTTTTGCGGGCAAAATCGGTCAAGCTTTTCCGATTTGACTGTACTGTCGTTCTCGAAAAGCTTGTCCGAGTTTTCCCGCAAAACTCGAGCAATTTGGCGGGAAAACTTGGACAAGCTTTTCGAGAACGAAGTATGTGTCTGTTTCTTTTTCTTTCCTTCTCACTTCGTCAGTTGAAACTTGAAAGACCGCTGTTGTCAAGATGAGATAACATGCACGCAGTCACCTTCTGTCAGAGCATTGCGGATACTGAAGCATAGAATGCAATCTTACTAGTAGATTGAGAACCAAGAAGAATTTGCCAATCACTCACGGGGTTGCTATCAATTAATGACAGTACCTTGAAATTTAAAAAGAGCATTCAGGAGCGTATAAGGTCGCGACTCGCGAGCTCAGCAAATCTCGCATGGGAAGCATAATAGAAGTTTAAAGGTAGAGACAGTCATACTCTTGAGAATAAAGTTTAACCAACTTATGACAGATCTTCATCAAAATGCCCCTACGATGGCCTTATTTTGGCGATTTGTTTAGAATTCAATCACAGATTTTTCCATGATTATCAGCCTTTCTAGGGCTTTCTCAGGCAAATTCACTGTTGCTAAAAATCTGAACGATAGACAGCACCTGGCGGGAGATAGGGTACCACCCTCGTAGTCCATAGTAGTTGAGCTTGTGTTTGAGCGGCATTGTAGCTGGGTGCTCGACTTCCGGGCAAGAGCCACTGGTCCGGTGTATAGACATGATGATGTAGCAAGCCTCTGTCTACCTCCCAATTATCGTTCACTTTTGCCAAGCCTATCGGCATAGTCTACATGCACCTTCTCGCCCAGTTGTGTGTGCTGAGGGAGGTCCTTGCCCTCTTATCACAAAGATAACCACTTTGGTAGAGGCTGCCCATAGCGTATGGGAGTCGGACACCAACAGGGAATGACTTTTTATCTGTTCAGAGGTCGATATGATCAAGAGTAGCTATGCGCGCGTTGCAATTCCGCACCTTTCCGAGCCACCTGAGCTTGTGCCAATAGGAGCGTTTCATCGAATGGATTAACTGAGTGGGATTCCTCGAGGTGTGTCATGCAGATGGTTGTTCGGTCTTCCAATTCCATTTCAGCGACCCGATTGGCGATTATCCAAGGTTCTTCCCTATGGTGGCCATCAGATGAATATATGTCGCAAAAGTCTATGTTCTGTGCCCTCGCCCCTACTATAGCTGGTGCCATATTAGCCTTTCTTTGGGCTAGGAGATTGCGCCATCAGGCTATATTCGGGATCAATATGCTTGACTATTCGTTTGAAATATCGCCTCGTTTCATCAAGGATGTCCGGAGAGTTATGAAATATTGATCGTACCAGCTCCTGAACTCATTTTGTCGTAACATGTGAAGTAAAGCTATGCACCATCTCCTCAAGTTGCCGTTGACAGAGGTCGCCGTAATTTCCCGCCCCAGACTGGAGTATGTGCAACTTTAATTTTCGATGGCTTTCTGATATCCATCTCCTGATAATCCAAGCATGTCGATTGCAGTATCCTCAATCACTGGACTTTCAGCTTCTAGCTGAGATATACATAAGGCAGGTTAGTCCTTGCCTCACTCGCCCATCAACCCACGCATCAACTTGACTAGAATATACCACCAAATTCTTCCAGATCCTCGTTCTGCTACTGATTCACTGTCCGAATTCGCAAAAGTCTCTTACATCCCATCAGTCTGAAATTGTATCTCTTGATGCATCATACCTTCCTAAGGCTCTTGACTGTCTGTCTGGGCTTACATGCTGTGACCGGCGCGCCTGGTACAAAAGAAGTCGAGACTGCAAATCCTACAAGTCCATACGCACTTCGCGGAAGTCTGAAGATGCCGGGGGAGGGTGATCAATTCGTTAACCAAGGCGGAGCGATGGGCGATATCCAAATCATATACAACGTGGAGTCTGCCCGTTCTGGTCGAGCAGATTTGACGGCACCGCCCTTCGGTCTCGCAATTGACGTTATCTTGGTTCCTAGACGAGAAAAAGGATTCAAACCAGGTCCATATGAGGTGGTGGTGAGTAAATTTCGCGCACTCCGCGTGAACGCTACGAAACAAATCCTAAAGAATGGTCACGTAAACACAGCTGGCACGAGGCTTACGATCGTTGAATGGCGAAGGGAACCCTCATATCCAAACCAATTTCGTACCTCCAGTCTCCACCTGTGGAGACTATCGTGAGTACTCCCAAAAACAATTGCAGATGTATAATTCTTAACTGATAACTGCTTTGACAGGCATGGAAATCCACGAAAATCAGATCTACGGCGTAAGCTTCTCTTAGTCTGTTACGACTCGCAGGTCTTGATTGTTTGAAGCTTTTTCTCGCGTTAATTTTGATTTGTCTAGAATTCTGTGGTCAAGATGCTAGCTGGGGCTCCAGGTGTCTGTAAGTCGCGTTTCTTTCTTAGTTCTATACTCGTAATATTCCCTCAATATTTGACCTTTTGATCTCGCTTTGTGACCAGCTGTTGCTTGTAGCCCATTGGATTACTATTGATGATCTTGGATGGACTAAGCGGGACATTGGACTCTAGGTTTATCTGGAAGATAAAAACATTATTTGTGCAAGAATACCTCCCAAAGGACATTCCCGAATTTTCATGACTTCTCAATCTACTTTATTAATATATGTATTGCTTCTATAATTCTGTCGAAGAGATTCAAGAGCTACTAGTAACATACTTGCTCTATGAGGTTCTTGCTCTCAACAATTGCAGCGTCCGTAAACCAATTTCTTCATTCAGCGTTGTGTACATGAAGATATATACACCATCCAAAAATCTGAAATGCGTATCTTGCTTGATATCAGTCAGCATGCCGCTTGCTAAAAAAGCGAAAGCAACAAACAAAAGGCTCGATGAAACGAGACGATGAGTCAGTTTCATTCCAATGCCTATCCAATCTTCAGCTCTCTGGGACATGTATGATTAATCCCAAGATGGATGTTGAAAGTTGGCAACTACATGCTTATATATCTGGAAATCATTAACCTGCCCGATCAAATCAAGAGCCTCGAGCCAAGGAAAACCATACAAAATTATATGCAAGACTTTGCGATGCCCAAGCCATCTCAATGGACCAAGTCCAACTTGGATACACCATAACTCAAAGTATCGTTGTTTCCTGCTTGGTTATGAATCTCAGAAACAGTGTCATAAAGTACATTTCAGTGTGGCGCCAAAAGTCAAATCTCGTTACATCAAGTGATCATTTCTTCGATTTACAAGTAGGGTGCACAAGGTTTCTTTGTTGCACTCTGAGCCAGGTTTATGGCTTGGTTATGACGCTGCATAGTTCTTCACTATACCTTAATAAATCCATTGTTGAGAAGGGATCTCTTAGTCATTTACACCTCAGGTTATCAATATCAGTCTGATCTTGACAAATGATTTCAACAGCCGGATTAAGAATTAAGGTTATGTGTGATTTTGACTCAGGATCGACACTACGATAGCAGAATACATAGATGAATAAAAGAAGTAGATATATTTGAAGGAAAGCTTGGGTGATATAATCTGGGTGACCCTTGAACAGTAATCAAGGCTGAGTCTTAAGCCGTTCCATTGACTACAATTGTTGTTCTGATTGAACCAGCGCACTTGAAAGCTGTGAGGTCAATTTGTCAGCTTTGTGTGAATGAGAGATGAGACGGAAAATTTACTGACTGATGAGCGGAGCCGCTGATTGGAAATGTATCACAATATCCTATTTCTCAAAGAAATAAATTTCAATTAGTTATGATCAAAGAGTTTATATCTCATATACCTTGGGATATTTGAATGAGACAAAGGGACAACACTCGCCTGGTACAATTGCCTCTCTGAGACTACCATGTCTAGAGTATAAGTGGCGCCAGTCAGTCAAATGTAAAACTTCAAATTCTTCATTGGAATTGAGCTCTGTGTACTCACAATAATCACCACAGGCACCCACAGGTGGGACAAAACTCGCCCGAATAGGTTGATCACTTCCACTGTCGTGAGGTCGCATTCCAGAGGCCAACTAAAGAGATGATTTCAAAGATATGGTCATCAATCCTGGACTTGTGCCAATATAAGAATTTGGAAAACAAGTGACCTACAGAAGTAACTGAGGGATCGCTAATGTTGAAAACTTTCGGAGGATCCCCTTTGCCTGATCTTGGTACAAGGTGAAGATCAATGGTGCATGTTCGAGCCCCATATTCATTTGATCCATCCGAAACTCCAATGTAAATCACTTCTACCGCTCCGACATTGCTGACATGGTTTTGATAGACTGAACCCCCGCCTGGCTTGATCAACCTTCCAGAAGGACCGGCAGTACGTGGAGAAAATTGAGCTTCTTCAACGGTCGAATTTCGTTGCAACGATTCTTCCATGACCCCGTTCATCTTCGATAAACCAGAAGCGTCAAGGAATGCTAGGAGCGGTAAAAGGATGATTCCATAGCGAATGAACATTTTGCACGGGAGTACGTATCTGTAACAAAGTAAAAGGATGATAGAGACTGTGCGCAGGTATCAAAATCGAGCCGCGACTTGGGTTGGTAGATGATGTGAGGGTAGCAACGAGTATGTATGCAATTGCAAGTAGATACAAACCGGTAGAGGGGGATAGATGATGAAGCACTGGGGATTCAAATGTCGAAGGGGAGGTATGTAGAGGTAATTCATAGGTGCTTGATAAAACAACGGACAAGAGCAGAAATGAGACAAAGTGAAAACAAACCGTGAAAACAACTCGAATATCAGAAACGCTGATTGGGGGTGATGAAAATCACTGGCAGCATGTCAAGAAGAGATCGAGGCGGTTGGGAATTTCTGTGGATACGGCGTGATTATCGGTCCATCCAAGTCTCCTTGAATGCACCATGTCACTCTTGGTCATCATACACCCAGAGTATATAGAGATTTGACGGGTCCCTATCTTCCGAAAGCCTCAGTTGTGTCTTCATCACTCACCTGGGGTTTATTGATAAACCCGATTGCACTGGAAATCCGGAGAAAATCAGCGTCAGAGATTGGCTGCGATCGCAATCGTAAGAGCCAGCAGCGCTAAAGTGAAATTTAAAGCCACCGCTATTGAAGCGCGCAAGCAAACCCCCTAGGAATCATTATAAAATCAAATATTGAAATGAAGCTGATGATCGCGCTCGCAATGAGTTCCTGGTACCTAGTGCAAACGAAGGCTGTCCATCTTCTTGAGTTATTGGCATATATCCCAAGAGAGTGCAATCAGTGATTGCTCAGCGAACTAGTGCAAGTGGGTTCTAGTTGAGAGATCCAATGTGAAGGGCTGACACATATTGTCAATATCAAAGTATCAGATGTTACCAGACTGTATTGAAAGCGAGCGAGCTGCGAATTGTCGACACGTATGTGGTCCCTCAGCTTCTAATTTGACAGAGCCCTGTGAGAATCACTCGCTGGGGATCAAGCAATGGCTCAAGAGCTCCAGTCTCGAGGCGCCCTACCGGCTTCAAGAAGGTATACTCAGATGCAATGGAAAATAAGTTACTATAATAATTTTTGGAGCAATCGAAGCCCTATCGCGCGTAGTCAGTGAACAGCTCATCAGTGTATCCATTTTTGGATATTTAAAGTAGAGGGTCAGCTACGCTGTAGGTATGCAGAAGGTCAGTAGCATCACCGTTTTTCTGTCATCAACGTTAGTCCACGCTGTAAAGCGCTAGGCGGAGGAGAGATGTCAGACATTCAACTATTCAAGTCAGTAGTTATTGGATCAATTCTTGCTTGCCCTTGGCCTTGAAGTACCGGCGGTCAGCAGCTTCAGCCTTGAACATGTATGCTTTTTGAAAGCTTACTCGTTATAAATCCATCAGTGACCTCAAAAGAAAATATGGTAGTGCATGGATGGAGGGAAACGTCGCATCACCAACAAGAAAAGCAGTGGTTAGGTAGTTATACACAACATTCACATTATTCGCACCCAGTTATCAAGGTTAGTAATAGCAAAAGAGAAGGCGATCAATTGGATGCCCTCGTTCTCAGAATATTGTTTTTCTTCAGCCTCAATCGAATCGACATTGAATTTTTTTGATGGCAGCTGCTCTGTTCAGGTGACTGTCCTACCCTGTACAAATCATTGAGCAAAATATCCGGCGTAACTGCTTTGTGGCACAAAAGCGGGCGCCGAAGCCGCTAAGCTGCTGTCGGGGGTTGCAGCTGGTGCCTGCATGTTTTGATGATACGCTTGTTGCATGTGTTGAGGCGGTTGGTGGGGTTGAGATTGAGAGTATTGGTGAGGCGTGTGCTGAGGATGATGGTGCGGGTTGCCATGTTGATGATGAGGATTGTGATGAGCATGATGACCGTGGTGTTGGTTTTGGCCGTGATGATGTCCAGCATTGAATCCGTAACTGTTTCGTTGGCCATAGCCCGCATTGTGATGTTGCTGGGGCGGCTGAGGAGGATGCCTGTATGATACGCGACGGAGTGAGCAAGTCAATGGACAGGGTATTTGCATATGGAGACGAACCAGTTTGATGCTATCCTCCATGGGGGAACGCTCGCAGAAGGCGGTCCAGGTGTATCATTTCCATTATCCATGGATGAAGTTGGGCCATTCCAATTGGGTTGGTGTTTGGGTGTTTCTGACTTCTCGCCAGAGCCGTCTTCTCCTGAAGCACCTTTCGAAGTCTCGCCCAACTCTGCCATGAGAGACGCGTACTATAAGGGGAAAGGTCCAGGTAACAAGATATGGTGACAGACGTTGTGAAGGGATCATCAGAGGTATGAAAGGAGGGAGTGAACCAGCGCAATATAAATAAGGCGAAGTGCGCACCTCAGAATCAAAAGCTTGCGCCACGCCTCCATTAGGGCCGGCTTGACCACCATTGAATCCACGTCGTTGAGTACAATCCCTAAATGATACAGACAGGAAATTGAAGAAGTTAGCGGAGAACATCAAGCGATCACAGTGACACAAACCTCGCCATGTGACCCGCGCCTCCACAGATTCTGCAAATGATGCCAGCCGAGAAGTTGCGTTGCTCAGGACAATCGTATTTGCGATGGCCTGGATTGCCGCAATTTTGACATACCTACCCAGTATAGATGCCTCAGGAATGAGCTTCATAACCTAAGATATTATAGAGTTACGGACCTGGTTCTCAAAATCCCTAAAGGTTCCATTTAATTGGGCAAGTTCCCGTAATTGGTTCAATTTTTGTTCGTTTTGACTTTCGGGCACGGAGCAAGCCTGTAAAAAGTGACGAGTACGCATGAGATACATCACCGCATCCGATGACAGGAGTGAGAGCCAGAGACTTGAACCTACAGTTTCGATGACCTTGTTTATTAGTTTCACGCATTTATCAACTTTGTCTTGTGTATCAGCCGTGACCAAACAATGCATCTCATCGTCATCATCACCCGCAAATTCTTCCTTACGACCTTTGCCCTCTTTAACACTTCCCCTTCCCCTGATACTAATCTTAGCCCCACTTTCGCCTTCCATCTTCTTCAAACTATTACCTCGAGGTCCAACCAGTAAACCGAAGAACTTGATTTCTGGAAATTCTTTGATAGGGATATATACTTTTTCTGAAGGTCTACCTGATCTGTTCCCACCAAACTTCTTTTGAGCTTCAAAGTCTGCAGGTGGTCGATAAGAGGGATCGATTTTGATAAGGCGCTCTATCAATTTTGTCCGCTCGTCTTCCAGTTTGCGCCTGTAACGAAATTCACGAGTGTTTGTTCTACGACCCTGACCATCGTACGTGGGTGGAGGCGACGGAGATCGTTCTCTCTCCGGAGGTACTACATCACCGCTACGCAATTTTACATTGACCTGCTCCAATCGCAAAGTGGCTAAGTGTTTGGAGGTCAGCTCAAAGTATTGCGGCGGGAAGAGAGTTATGGCTTACCCGCGTATCGATCCAGATCGGCAGCATCTACTGTTCCATTAATCGCGACTGGGAGTCCAGCCACACTGACTTTCTCGGTCTCGGCACCCCATCGGCTCTTTCGTTTGCGCTCGGCAGGTGGGGGTTCGGGGGCATTGGTGGCAGGCGGTGGTGGTGGCAGTGGCGGCTCGTCATCACGATTGGACAATGGTGCTGCAGTATATGAAGTGGGTGCACCTAGACCACCAAAAGCGCCGGAGTCTCTCGAATCGGAACTACCGCCCCATCTGCGTTGAGCACCCAGGGGTGCATCGTTAGTGCCAGTGACTTTATTGCCATTGCGCCACATGTCTGGGTAGCGTGAATATTGTACGAGGTGGATGGACGCGCTAGACGAAAGTTTAATCGAAGACAATGAGGACTTGACGAAAATCAGGAGAATCGACAGAGGTGGTTTGTTTAAATTCAGTCGAAAGGTCTTGAGGCAAATGGTACGATCGATGAAAACGCACCTGGGGGTTAGGGTAAAAGACCCGAGAACACTTTCGAAATTCGAACACACCGATTCACATCTGTTACACCAGGCTGTTACAGGTAGTACAGGTCATACAGTAGCAGGTGTCACACTACTATCACGAGCAGGTGTTCAAGTGTTGAAAGCGGGTCTACCTACAAGACTCAAGTTCAAGTGGATCAATCTTACATACATACATCCTCTTCATGCACCTGATCAAGGCCTCTGCAAAAGCAGAATCAGACAAAGAGCTTTCCAAGTTGACAGATACCTACACCCCCAGGTTCTGTTGAAGCTTGATGAGGGGAATTTTTTTAAAGCTTATTTTGCATTGTAAAGTGGGTGATCAAAAAGCTAGAGTTTTTATGTTTTATTTTTTAATCTTTTGGATTTCTGCAATCATCACACCTACACAAACCCTTTTGACTGTCACCTCCTGTGATCTTGCTATCAAACCACTGGCATATGATCTCAAAAAGTGTATCATTTAGATGCATCTGGTTCAGGTAAAGGTCATGGAAATTGCAAAGAACAGAGCCTCCCAACCAATATGGGAGGGTCTATGATTGCAGATTTCAAGGATTATGGCTCAGTGTTAGGGAACAAGTCAACAGGGTAACCCCAAAGCTTAACCAACTGTAATCATTGGCATCTAATGAAAGATATGAAATGGCCACAAAGCTTGGCTACTGACCAGCTTACTATCAATCCAACTATAATATTAGAAAATCCACCATTCAATGTCCCTGGAAGAACCTGGGATATAACTCTGTAGTTGATGAGGTCAAGGCATCCTGGAATTATCAGAATGTTCAAGACCTGCTAAATTTTGCAAGGCCCATGAAAAATGTACTCTAGATGCCTGGAGATTGGTAATCTGGACTGATGAATTGACTTCCAAAGCCCACCCCGTCCTCAGCGAGCTGCACTTCTCTAGTGCCCTATTGAAAACTGGGAATAGATAGGACTCTTATATGTCTATCTATAGGTCACTCCCCCCAGGGTGACCTATCAGCGTAGGTCTATGGGGGCAGTGGCACAGCCCGGCCTCTGAGTTTAGTTCATGTGAACCAAACTCTGCCCGGGTTGGTTTCCAAGAACTAACCTCAATCTCCGCCAAGGTTGGTTTACTAGAACCAACCTCAACTTGGCTAGCGGATTGCTGGATTGAGACCCAGGACTCCTACCACTAGTTGTCAAGACGGGTGCTTGGCACCTAGCCTCTTAGGGCTTACCCCCAACGCAGAGCGTGCATCTTGCTTTTCCGCGGCCCAGCATAATGTTTGGATTTCTTGTACAGATATCTCTCACTGTACGTACTGAATTGCATACAAGTCCTCCACATCTAAAGTTTGTGTTGTAGAGCTGCCTCTTGTCGTAAAAACACCCATTAATCTTGTCTCTGATGCTTATTCACCCTTTTGTCTAGAGCTTCTAACATTACTATTGCCTCATTTCTCCCCTCTTCCGTGAAGGCCTTGAAGTACCTCAAATAGGTGAGTGACCTCCATCTCCCTTGTTTGGCAATGATGTTTACTGGTGTTCCCAGATTCTTTGGCAGTTTTTGCTGTCCATAGGTGTAGCTTCACCAAACAAAGACCTTTCCTTTCACCAAATTCAACACAGCTCCTCAAGATTGCACTGTCCTGCTTCTTCCCCCTTAATAGCTTGTCTAGCCATGTCATGCCCCAAAAGGCCACCACCGCGACTGATCCAGTAAGTACCAATTTGCCTGACTTTCTGTAGGGCACTTTGAAAAGCATGAACAGTTGTTTGATTGTGACGGGTTTTTTTTGAGTTATTAGGTCTCTTTCCTCCTCATTTTGGCAAGTTGCGTTCAGGAGTAAAGTGACAACTTCCTTATCAGCTGTTGGTCGCAATTTATGTCACACTATGTGCTGTGCTTGTATTCTGTCCAGGTATCTTTTAATTGTCACCAATGCAATCACCCTATTAGGTCTGTCCTCCTTTCCTAGCTTTGAGTCGCCTTCCCATCACTCGCCTCTGCCACTTTCATCAAGTTGGAGTTGGAGTTGTTGTCTTTTTTGATAAATAGAGTGTTGTTGACCCAAAAGAACCCTGTGTTGAACTTGAATCTTGACAACATCACTAGTTTCCAAGCATTGTAGAACTTAAAACCCAACAAGGGTTATACAAAGCTGGAAGAGGATAATCTACTAGATAAAAATGACTAGTAGAAGTTGTCTAAGGACTGCTCTTCTAAAACAAGTCAATCAGAAAGAGAAACTGTTGACTTGAGTACTGATAAGGCACCAGAGAAATATAACTGATTTGATAAGAGAAAAGCACCTGATTTAATTAATCTCAACACAATTTTAGTGGTATTCCAGTTGAGTCAAAATGTAGAAAAATAATCTCAATATCTTTTTGATATTATTCCAGAATGACAGTGTCATATAAAGCACATAAAACAAATTTCTCCTCTGATGAAGGGCTGGTTTGAGTGACCTAGTACTGCTATAATAAATTTATGATGATAAATAAAATTAAAGCTCTGTAAGAGATGAAGAAGAAAGGAAAAATAATTTCTCACAAAGCACACAAGTTTATATTAAAGATCAATGAGTGGTCAACAGCTCTTAAAAACCCTCTTTACCATCTCAAATACCAAAAGATGACTAAAATGTTGGTAAACAGCTATGATCTAATGATTCAATCCCTCTCTCCACTCCTAAATTTAGCCATCAGTAGCTCATTAACCCATTATGATCATTACTATGGTGTAATGTGATCTTCTATTCATCATCTGATAAGATTTATTACTAATTTGACCAGTAAAACATGACTAATCTCTATTCTTATGATCAAATGCTGTGTATATGCTGTGATATGAATGTTCTAGAATGAATATTGATTTGATCTTGTGATGATTCAGCATTTCAATGATGTACAGTCAATCCAAAAATGCTTGTCCATCTGGTTTTATTTTATTTTATTTTCAGAGCAATACAGGTCATTTTATAAGCATAATCACATAAGTCGTATGCTTATCTGGAATTGTGAGTCAGACCAACCACAGCGCTTGATGGGATTGATCAATCGAACCAATCCTCAGCGCCATCATCTCATCCTCACTCGTCTTTCCAGTTTGATTCAATCATTCATTTTCCATCATCTCATTCAAAGGACTTAACACAAGTTTTGAAACCAATCTCTAGGCTTTGAATTCAATCTCATTGCCTCAATATAGACCTCTCGGCTTCAATTCAGACATTTTGGCTTTGATTCAGACATCTCGGCTTTGGTTCAAGTCCTTCCTACTTTGATTCCAACCTCTTTGATTTGGTTCACACAATTTGACTTTGCTTTGAGTGATTCAAGGTCTTCAAAACTCCTTTTTTCAACTGAATAGATCCTTCAAATCCATGTTGTAAGCTTTGAATTCAACCTTGAAGACTTGGGTGTTTGCTGATTGACTCAATAGTTCCATCTTGATTCATCCTCCTCAGCTCTGAATCTGTTCATGATTGTATCAATTGTCTCAATTCTCATTTTGCTCTTATTTTGTCTCTCCCTGTTACCAGTGTGATAGACTCTTTGAAGCACATCCTATCCCATTGGTGCTCTAATCGTATTACAAATGCATCAATATCATGTTCCAAAGTAAGGAGAATGTGTGCCATATAGTGGTTCACAGACGGGCTGAGGTCAAACAATTCTGAGACCGAGTCACAGATGGAACACCCTCCATAGTGAAGTCAGCAAGCACGCCAGCGACTACAAGGTGCGAGCTCAGTTCAGGCTGCAAACGAGAGATCAACCTGTCTATCTAACAAGACATAAAGTACTCCTAGGCAAGGGAGCGAGTTCATAGACTAAATTGATCAAAAGACTTGAGCCCAAGAGCAAACGATTATGTTATTGATCATGATCATTTGGATGGCACATAAAATCTTCTTATAGGTATACAAATAGGTTAAGAGACTTGTTTCTTTCCGAGGCACAAGCACAACAAAACATGTAAGCACATAGCACTCTTGGCAACCTTATATATTACTAATACCACTGTTACATATGTAAAACTACCTGTCAACCGTTGTTTACCAACTTCAACTTTTTCCCATTTCCTTAATAACTTCTGTTTTATCTTATAAACCATCATGATTGAAGTTGTTACTGACCAAAATAATGCTCCTCTTCCTTATTCTGATCTTACCAAACCCATAAACCTAATATTAATACCCTAAAACCATTTCCAACCTGTATACCTCTATTTTCGAGTTTTTCTTATGTTTTTTTCTTTCTTTTCTTTGTGTAATCTATTTGTTCATAGTTTATACTTATCTTGATAATTTTGTTCATATAAATGATAAAATGATGTAAATATTGAACTATATGTACTATAATTGATGTAATTCAAAATTTGATTTGTTTGATTTTTTTTGATTGGTCTCAAAGATTGATTACCACAGTGTCTGCAGCTTGTCCAAAGGTTCCGCAACCTGCCGCACCTCCAAAGTTCACACGTGTGTCAAGTAAGATGTTCCAGTCCAAATCCATCACCATTAGATATGGCAACTGAGGTTGTTTTGTTGGGGTCTGGCAATAAGCCTTAGCCCAGTTTAAAATGCCCAACCACAGTGTAAGTTTACTACTCACTGGCAGGCCAGTGAGTTCCATTCACCTCAATCCAATATCAATTCAATGTCAGTTCAATATCAGTTTGAACTCCAATCATGTTTGAGTGGGGGATATGCATGGGCTGCATAATCACTTGAACCTTCCAGACATTCTGACACCTTCATGTGTGGACATGCAACCAAACTTTATTCCAGTTCATTCTGGAAGGTTGTTTGTCTGCTACTCTAGGCCAAACATTGAGATTGGATTGAGATTGGATTGAGCTGGATGTACTCACTGGCCTGCCAGTGAGTAGTAAAATGACACTGTGAACAACAATACTCCTTTACTTTGTAGCATGAATCTCACAACTCTCTTGAAGCCGTCCCACAGTGTCTTCAAATTGTGCGTATCTACCAGTGCTTTTACCAAGTTGATGTACACTCCCTCCTTGTGAATCAGAGGTCATTTATGGGTTGCACCAACCCATTGCAATTTACCATGGCTCCTAGAGGATTTGTCCTGAAGAAACCCAACCACCAGAAAACCTCTTCTTCTGGGAAGGGACCAAAAATTATCCCTGCTTGAATCTCCTGAGCTAAGTTTTCTCTGACCTCT